TTTTTAACAATTTGTTGCTACCCCACTTGTTATTATAGTGCTTGTCAAACTTTTTATATTCAATTACAATTTTTTTAAAACATTTTTGCTACCAACAAGGCTGCAAGCAATCACTAATTAGTGTTGGAAGTTACTGAAAAAGAAAAGATGAAGATTGTAGAGCAAGATAACGATCTACAGATGACTTAAGAGATTGCAAATTAACCAGAAAAGAGGATAAAGGAAGGGAATTCTAAAGAACTGATGTTCGAGGAAAAAAACTAGAGGAATAAGAGTTTTTGGAGAACTTAGGAACAGTCACAGAAAAAGGATGAGACTTAATTGAATGACAAATAACACGAGAATGAAATTTAGTAGATGGCAAAAGACACGCTAGCTCTTTAGAGCAGTGCCCATTATAGTATTTGTAGAAGAGAAAAGAGAGAGAGTAGCAACATTATAACAATGTGATAATGGTTAAATGTTGGCTTCAAGAGCAGGTCTAACTATGTTTACAATGCATTTTTACACTTTGTCTGAAAGAGAAAGGGCATCATTAGAAGATTTGCCAGATATGGCTACAGTATTCCATACAAGGTCGGATTTGATATTTATTAGAATCCAAAGAAAGTGATAATGGTTGAAAGTGTAGAGCTCGATAAAGAGATGCAACTTTCGCAGATGCTAATTTTGCAACAGATTTGATATATGGTTTCCAAGAAAGATCAGAAGTAAGAGTTAATCCTAAAAGATAAAGGGTAGATGGCTCATCAAGTACATTACCGTTCATAAATATAGGAAGGTCTAAATTATTGCGATAACAAGCAGCTGAAAAAAAACTGAGTTTTTATGTGAGCCTCATGCTGTAGCAGAAGTGAGATCCTTTTCAAGCTCAAATGCCCCCTCCAAGCAATTAGAGAGAGTTAGCTTCTTATCATGACAAGAATAAATGGTAGTATCATCGGCGAACAATGCCACCTTAGATGTGAGAATATCTGGAAAATCGTTAATAAAAATTAAAAAGAGTATAAGGCCAAGCATTGAACCTTGAGGAACCCCTAAGGTTACAGAATAAGAAGAAGAGTGCTGTCCATCAAGGACAACTTTTATACTACGATTATACTTTTATACCATTGGAAAAAAAGGATTCAATAATCTTAAAGATGTTTCCAGATACACTATAAGAAGAAAGTTTATGGAGAAGACTAGCATGTTAAACTTTATCAAACGCTTTTGAAATGTCAAGAGCGATGGCTTTAACCTCTCCACCTTTATCTAATGCGTCTAATGCGCGATAAAACCTATTGGTTATTGCTGTTGGCAAATCAGCCGTGGGACAAGAAGATCGAAATCCATATCAATGATTAGAAAGTAAGTTGTTAGATTCAAGATGAGAAATTAAGTGTTTGTTAATTAAAGATTCAAAAACCTTCCTTATGATAGGAAGAAGACTAATGGGACGGTATTTCGACGAATCGGATTGCTCTCCAGAATTTTTAAAAATAGGGATAACAGGTGCTGCTTTCTAGCAGGCTGGAAAACAAGACTCTGATAAGCACTTGTTGAATAGTTTTAAATGGATATACGACAGCTCCAGAGAAATCACTTTAGATACAGAAGCTGGAGTGATACGAATGTCAAGCAATAGATCAACCTGTTTGACGGCTTTATCAGATAGAACGCAACTAGTGGAATCAAGAGATGATATTGATGAAAAGTTCTAAGCAAATAATTCAGCTTTGTCTTTAGGAGAGGTGACAAAGTCTGAACTATACAAAAGAGGTGGAATTACAGACTTACCCTTATTATTGATACTAATAAAGAATCTCTAGAAATCATGAGAGCCTAACTTTTGTGATGAAATACAAGATTTCATGACCTGAGAATAACAGGCTTTGGGGTTAGACAAACGTGTGTTCATATCATAGATAAACATTAGAAAATAAGTTGAAAGTTAATAAAACCTTTTAAAACAAATTATTGAAAAAGATATTAACAAAAAACTTTTTAATTTTTAACGCCATTTCGTTTCTGGCAAAGGAAAGTTCCGACTCTTTGACTACTTTTATTTTTTAAATCAGGTCCAATTAATGTGCTTATATTTGACATCAATACAAGAAGTTTCTTTAAAAAAACTTATATTCCAGGGGTTTCTTCTTTAGCCGTTAAATGAAATTGTAATATTCTGTAAAAATTATATTCCTAGCGAAACACCATAATTATATTGTATAACAGTATTTTTACATTGTTATTTTATTAAAACGATTGACAGTTATAAAACCTCTTTATCATCACATATTTATTTAATTAATAACTAAATTATTAAATAAATATAATTTAATTTTTTAATTAATAATATTATTATTTTATTTAATTAATAACTAAATTATTTATTTAATAACATAAGGTTAATATTAACCTTATAACCGGAAGTATAATGGCAAAACAACAAATACTTTTTTTAATACCTCATTCAATAATTTGTTTTGGAAAGTTTAATTTTAAACTTATTTTCTAATGTTTATCTATGATATGAACACAACTTGTCTCGGCACTTGGGGATACCTTTAATGAATATTTGCCGGTCCATAAATGGCACAGCGCATAACTCAGAATCCCAATGGTTTAAAAATCCTAAAATTCTATAACTTTTTTTTTTCAAAATAATAAAAAAATATCATCAAAAATATCAATATTTAGTATAACAATGACAATAAATATCCCCAATATCACAAAAACACAGTAAAAAATATATTTCTGGCGAACACCATGGTTATATTGTATAACAGTATTTTTACATTGTTGTTTTATTAAAACGATTGACAGTTATAAAACCTCTATATCATCGCGTATTTATTTAATTAATAACTAAATTATTAAATAAATATAATTTAATTTTTTTAATTAATAATATTATTATTTTATTTAATCAATAACTAAATTATTTAAATAATAACTAAAATATTAAATAAATATAATTTATATTTAATTAATAACTAAATTATTAAATAAATATAAAAACAATAATATAAAAATTAATCAAATTTAAAAAAAAAAAAAATTTAATGCCTATTTTCTGCTTTTTTATCGCTAAAAAAACAAAAACAATCACTAGAATGAAGAAGCAACAAAATAAAAGTTCAGTGGAAATGTCAAAATTACATAATAATTTAAATCTGTGCAAGACTATCTTGATGGCAACCCTTATATCCTATCAAGTGCATTTTAGACTGTACTTATTTGCTCCTGCTGCAGCATAAAAAAAGTATAAAAATTCACTAACTTTAAATTAATAGTATTTTTTACTATAAACGCTTTAATCTTGGAATTAAAAAAATATAAAAGAACTATTTTTCTTCGTTAAATAAGTATTTACATGAAACAATATAAAAATAAACATTGTTAAAATATTTTAAACAATTTTGGATCACTATTCTATTTTTGCGTATTTTACGGAAAACCTGTCTTGGGCCAATCAAAATTTGATATTTTAAGCTACATGCTTGATGATTGAAATTTTACATACTTATAAACGAATGTCTATTTTATCAGATTTTTGGAGGGCATAGATAAAAAAAATAGTTTTAGTTTTTTTAGCATTATTATTTTTGTTTTTACTTGTTTTATATAAAAAAGGTTCAAGTTTTGTTATGGCCTCCAAATTATTGAAATTTTAACCCTCTATGCACATGAAAATCAAAAAAATTACTTTCTTTACTTCTAACTTTGGCAAATTTTGTTGCTTTTAGCAAAAAATTGTAGTTACATGCGTAAAATTTTTGTTTATGTTTTAAAGCAATGACGTAACTTTAAATTCGTTACTTCCTAAATCATTATGTAATTAAATTTATTAAAACCGCTTTTTTAGCGAGACAAATATTAGTTTATAAATAAATAAAAACTTTGGGAGTTTTTTTTCTCTCGTGGCTAATCTACAAACATCAGATAAGTTCTTTAACCCTCTGATATCTATTGCATACTTGTTATTTGTCAATAATTATTATTTGATTTTATTTGTTTGTATTATATTTGTATTAAGAAGTTTATTTATCACTATGCATTCTAGTGAAAGGGAGATACTAATACTATACATTGGATGCTTAAAAGCTTAAGCTTTATATTTTTAGGCATTAAGCTTTAGCTTTAAATTTTTTAATATTTAAGATCTTTTTGTTTTTATAATAGTCCAACAATGTGTACATTTAATAATAAATAATAAATATAATAGAGTTTTTTTTGATAAAAATTAACATCAAAATACTAATATTTAGCCAAGTTCAACATTTGCCCCGTTTATTCTAAAATTAAAGAAGTTTTTTAATATATCTGTGAAACGTCATCAAATAAAACATTTTATTGGTGTTTTTATTCTTTTTACAGAACAAAATTATCTCTAATGTTTCAAAAGTTATAAAAGTTTTAGTAACACCCCGTGAATATTTTCATAAAATAACAAGAAGCCGTAAAGCTCGCTTGAAACAGCCGTGATATATATATATGTATAGATATATATACTATTCTAGGAAAAAAAATTTGGGTGGCAATACCCCCTCCCCTCATCCCAGAGAAATTTAGCAAAAATGTTGCCGAAAAGCTGCATTTTTTGCAAAAAAAAAACAATATTTGCCATAAAAAATATAAAAAATGTAAATGCCCCCAAATACAGTCGACGCTGTCAAAAATGGTCTAGAATAGCCCCTGTTACATATATATTCAGTCTGGAAAACCAGTACCCTGTATATACTTACTATACTTGATACCTTATATATGCAAAAAAGTTGTTTATTTATTCTTTTTCAAATATTCTATAGTTTTAAACTCACCAAACATTTTAGAAAATATTGTACAGATATAGGCTAACCAGATACTTTAGTGAAAGAATAATAGGAGAATTTCGAATTAGAAAATTTGTACTGTAGTACATAATAAAAATTTGAATTAGAGAGATTCTGCTGTACATAAAAAATAAATAAAAAAAATTAATACTTGTGAAAACTTATATAACTATAGATTAAACAAACCTTTTTCGTTAACAGTAATAGTAGCAACACCTGTGGTGGCAGATAAAACTGTTTTCAAATTTGCTAAAACAAAACATTCTCTCATTTAAATATATCAATATAAATAATAAAAAAACTTAAAAAAATAAAAACAATTAATCAACCATACTTATATCAACACCAGCTGTGCTAAATGCTTTTAAAAACATTTCTCCAAACACATCATCTCCAACCTGAAGAATCAATAATTATTTATCATTATGACATGCATTATGTAATTCAATAAAACATACTGATACCCATAAAATATTATTTAAATATTTATAGCTTTCTTTGATTGATCATAAGCCCATTAAAAAACATGGAGTATTTAACTTATAAGAATGAGCAAACTTAAGTGTTTTATACCTAAAAAAAAAAGATTTTTTGTTATAACAACAAAAGAACTTTGTATGGTTTTGTATTTTTACAATTAAAACGACTTTTACTGCAATTTGTTTCTCAACAATTTTCAATGTTAACTTTTGACCACTAAAAGTTATGCAACCCCATACAAATACTGATTTACTATAAAATTTTATTCTTTATTTTCATTTATAAATACAAGCAGCTGTAATTAAATAAGGAATAAACTTTTAAAGCTTATATTTGGATTCTTAAAAACCTATGAAATAAAACCATGTTGTAAATATAAAAAATAATATATGTATAAAACTATTAAATGGTAATAAATGGTAAAAAAACTACTTATATTAGTGTTTTTTTTTATTTCCAATTATGTTCCTTACTATGCCTTTTCACATGAGAAAAAGTAAATAAATTATCTATTGCATTTATAATCATAAAATTAAACTGATTGTCTAATTACTAATCGTAAATCATTAAATTAAATAGGTTGTTTTATATGTTACAATATAAAGTTATAATAAAGATGTAAGCTTTGTAATGATAAATATAGATATCAACTAAATGTAGATATAAACTTCACAAAAATAATAAAGCACAGACCAATCATTTTGTAGAAAATATACTCAAAATTTAGTTGAAATTAGTTCAGTAAACATTTTTAACTTATTTTTAAAAGTATTATTCTTTCTGAAAAAAAGAAACGGCAAAATACAAATAATAGATAGACAATCATCTTAGAAAAATATATTGTCTTACACAACCAATCATTGCAGTTTTTGCACCAAGTTTAGCAGACATAACACATTGATTAGCTCCTTTTCCTCCACAACCTATCACAAACTTTTTTCCACACAATGTTTCACCCACTTTTGGAAAACGCTCAACATAACTAAAAGAAATAGTGACTATACAACACTAAATTAAAGCCCATAGAATATTTGTATTTGTATTTGAAAAGTGCTAATTACATATATTTGTATTAGAATTTGTATTTGGGAATCTAGAACTAACATATTTGTATTTGATCAAATATATTTGACCCAAAACCTAGTGACCAATACTATCTATAATATATGAAGGTAACAAAACTGAAAGCAAATTAATTGTTAACAATTTCTACAAATATAGCTATATTTGTAAAAATTGGTTTAGAAGATTAGCTAATTTTACAGTTCTGTACATTCATATAACAAATAAATTTAAGTTTAAATGGAAAGATGCTATTATAATTTGTCAAAAATTATAAACTAGTTTTTAAAAATTTTGACTAGACAAACTGCAAGTTGTCTGGATACAACCATCTAAAGTTGATGTAACACTTTTCAAATTTACCCCCTAAAACAAATCCTTCATTGAAATCAGATGCCAGACATTTTGCCAAAAATAATGAACAATGGTTGGTTATCTCCCACAGTTGTGTCTCAAAGAGAGCCCAATAGGTACCAATCTTGGTACCATTCCTAATTATTATAAAATTCCTAATTATTATAATAGATACCATTCCTAATTATTGAATATGTTAATTTGGGTAATATTTTGAGGTTTTCTTTTATTTGCTATATGTATTTAGAAAGGGTGGTTGAAGTTTTCAATTGTTTATTTGTGAAAAAGTGTTTGTGATTAGTCTATCATTTTTCCCAATCATCTTCTAAAAAGCCAAATATACTTTTTCTAGGGTGTTAGGGACTTTACCTGATGATTGCTATATGCATGAAACTTTTAATAATAAATATTATGTGACAATTTTTTACTTTTAATTTTATCTCTATAATATAAAAATTGAAAAATGTGTGGCTTGGTTTAATAATCTTGAACTTCTAAATTTTTCAAAGATAACCTTAAAGTTAAATTATCAATTCATTTAAGGTTTTGTTAAGTTTTTTAATTTATTCCATTCCACAAAGCAAGAAGCTACTCTTTTTTTTTTTTAAATTCACTATTACAATTTTTTTTAAACTGTTGTTAAAACCCTCTTACAACCTTATGGCTTCAAAACAAAGACCAATACTTCAATACTTCAATGCTGCTGCAAGTAACAAGTTGAGCACTGTACTGTCAGCTAAATCGAACTAATTATTTCTTGTTTAGCAATCAACCACTACATTAGTATTGCAATGTAGTTTAAGAAAAAAACAATCCAATTTAAAACATCTATAACTATTGATTGGCATAGTACTTCTAAACATTAGGTATCCAAGTTGTACATTATTTTTAAAAGTTATTTTGTTTAAAAACTGTCATCACTTTAATATTAAAACAACATGTTATTTACTGATATTTGTAAAAGCACTGTAATTATGTTTCATAAAAAATGAATTACTCACCTAAAAAGATCCGCATTACAGGATCCAACAACAACTATGTCCATATTTGTTATTAATTTTTTTATAAACTGTAAAATAGAAAAAAAATTATGTTTCATCATCATCATCATCATCATCATCATCATCATCATCATCATCATCATCATCATCATCATCATCATCATCATCATCATCATCATCATCATCATCATCATCATCATCATCATCATCATCATCATCATCATCATCATCATCATTATCATCCATCATCATCATCATCATCATCATCATCATCATCATCATCATCATCATCATCATCATCATTATCATTATAACCATATAACTTTTTGCTGATATAAATGAATTTTTGCCTTATTAAAACAAATTCATATCAAGATATACCCATAGGTTCTCAAATATAATTTTCTTCTATGCAAAAGTAAAATTTCCTTGTTAACTATGTCTCATCTTCTTGGAGGCTAATATTCAAAAATGGAAGTACACTCGATGTTGCAAACTTTTTTTTTTTGACTGAATTTACCTTTTTAAAGCTAAGAAGGTCACTACAGCTGAGGTTACCTTTTTTCTCATTACAGTTACAACCCTCTTTTCAACTCTTAAACTCCAAAATACGAGCCTTGACAAATAAGGTGAACATGGTACTATAAGGAGGCGGTGGGGTGAGGGGGATCAAACTCTGAACTTTCAAAAAAAAAACTTACAAAATAAACCTGAATTTCAAATTACAAAAAAGTTGTATAAAAATATTTGAAAAAATGCTTTTAGACTTTATAAAATTTAGTAGTTCTGGCTATCTTTTAAAATATAGTTTAAGAGAAAGCAAAAAAGATACCGAACTAAATATAAAAAGTGTGCAAACCTGTATACATTCTAATCCAACCTTCGGAATTAAGAAAAATAAGGTCGGCAATAATTTGCCGACCTCAATTTTTTAGAGGCATCAGTTTGGCAAAACTTATTTGATACAAAGGGGTTACCATAAAACATAGAAACAAGGTCCTCAAACACTTTCAGGTCAGCAATCCAAAATACCGACCCTAATTCTGAGGGTTTCTAATCTGAATACAAATAAATATATTTATTTGATATTTTCCAATTTGTATACATTTGTAGTTAGTTCTCAATGTAAAAATATTTTCACATTGAGATCAACCACAAACACATAAAAAAATATTTTCACATTGAGACCAATTACAGGAAATGTTTATTTACTTTTGTATTAGACCTACATTATCTTTTTTTTATTTTTCAAGAACTCACCTAATGGAAGATGAAGGACCCACTATATTAAAGCAGGTTACTCATTTTCATAATTTCAATCAAGGCTGTTCAGCAGAGAAAAGTATAGTACTACCAAAAAGATATGATGAGGTTTGAACTATTAATGAAGAGCAGTGCCAGCAGTTAAATATTAAGAAAAGCAATAAACACAAAAAATTAGCAATATCATAAAAAAAAATCAAAATAATCCAATATATTAACCTGCTCAAGATGGAAACATGATGGTTTACCTGCTTTACCTGTTTACTTGCTAGAATGGGCACAGGGGTTATTTTCATCAAAAACTGACAATATTGCAATAAAAAATATAACAGCATTGTAATTTCAACATCATACAATGAAGTAGCCAATACAATCCAGTTTAAAAATTCAAGAAAATTTATATAAACATAATCACTAAAGTCATGGCAACTTTTTAAAACCACTTGTTATAATTGGAAGGTTATTTCATGCATTAAAAACTCTGATAGGACAATTACTAATTTTAAGATTTCTATAACAACTATTAAATTATAGCTTTGTATAAGTCTATTTTTTATTTTTTTAAAATGTTCTGTTATTTATAGTTCATGCAGATTTATTGATCAAAGATGCATAGAATTTTTTAAAACTTTATTGATATGTTAAAATTTATTTTAATACTATTATGCATTTACTTGAATAAATTTATTTTATAAAATCCAATTATCAGTTAAAATTTTGAATAAAATTTAGTATAATAATGGAAGAAATTTACTATTATGATAAAAAGGATCCAATGATACAATCAATAACGAAGAGAATAATATATATTTCTGTACAACACACACTTTAGATACATGCATTAATATTGCTTTTACAATCAATTTCTAATGTTTATTAGTTCACACAACTTTGCATAGATGAAGAAACTCAACACTCAAAGTTCTAAACAACTTTAAAAACTTAAGCTTCTTGTTGTAAGAAAGGATTTGCAATTGCTTCCATTCCCTCAACTGGACATATCAAAACGATAGCTGTACCACGACAAACAACAATACCCAAAGATCTGGTGTCTTCAGACAACTTATATGGATCATCAGGATCTATAAAAATTCATAATTTAATTTTAATTTGTTGCATTCATCTTAAAAAACATGAAAAATACTTATCAAAAATAAATGTTAGAAAATATTTTGAAACGTGAATATTAATACATATATATATATATATATATATATATATATATATATATATATATATATATATATATATATATATATATATATATATATATATATATATATATATATATATATATGCATATATACAGAATGGAAAATGAGAAATCAAATTTAAGCAGTCAATTTGACCAGCTAACACATCGAATTAACAATTATTTGTTGTTTTTAGACGCAAAACTTTTTGCAAAAATTTTAATTTTTTTCTTTGTTTAAAATTTAATTAATACAAAAATAAGTAAATGCTTAAAAATTAACAAATCGGTATTCCTTTTAATACAATAATTTTAAACAAAACCAATGCATTTTTTAAATGATGAAAGGTAGATGACCAGAAGATAAAGGGTAGATGACTAATTGAGTACATTACTGCTCACAAATATATGAAGATCTAGATTATTGCAATAATGGTTATATATATATATGTGTGTGTGTATATATATATATATATATATATATATATATATATATATATATATATATATATATATATCGATGGTTAAGAGCACAAAGGGAATACGTCCACTAACCATTGTTTTGAGAAATCTGAATTTGAAAGCTTGAAAACATACAACAATTCATGGTATTTATTTATTGTCATGATTTTTAACCAAATGCATCTTCCGATTGGTTGACTGTTGAAGCTTAATATTTGTACAATAGTACCCTTATCACTTACTGAATGACACGCGCAATAACTCAAACCCGTAAAATGTTGGACATATTCCCTTTGTGCACTTAACCATCGATATATATATATATATATATATATATATATATATATATATATATATATATATATATATATATATATACAGGGCACGAATTGCGATTGCTTTTTACACAATTGGTTATGCAAATAGTTGACTATTTTAGTCATTTATTTACTATTATTCTAATTTAGCTTTTTTATTTTTGGCAATTCTTAAAAGTAATATTTTCATAGTAAACTACGCCACGCAAAGTTTGTCTTTTGAATAGAAGCATGATCATTTGCTTTTGAATAGAAGCATGATCATTTGCTTTTGAATAGAAGCATGATCATTTGCTCTTTCGCGCCGAGATTTTTATTCAACGTAAAGCACTTTTTAATTTAAACTACTTTAAATCTCTGTGCTAAAATAAACCAGTAACTTTTTTGCTTTCACATTTTTCGCTTTAACGACCTTGAAACTATTGAAGTTATATTTAGTTAACTTTACTGAATGGAGAGAGTATATCACAGTAAATTAACTTATAACCTAGGTAACCTAGTAAGATAGTAACTTACAGTAGCTCAAGTATTAATTTAACAATTATATTAATTTATTTAATATACTCGCTAAAGTTAGCCATAGACATGTTTCAATTTAGATCTTAAATGTTGTTAACACATAATATAAGCTTTTAACTAATAATCATTTTAATAAAAATTGTTGAATAGAGTATGAAAAACGCGACACCATTTTTTATATTTTTATTTTATTTATAGTGACATCTAGACTAAACATTTTCTATAAACACGCAATTGTTTTCAAGAACTTTATTTAAAAAGAAATCAATATAACAAGAGAACTTTAGCCTTAAAATTCACTTATTCAAATAATTTTGTGATAGAAATTTGAAATTTAAAAAAAAGGTTGATGAAACAAGGGAGAAAAGAAGAAAGTTTTTTTTTCTTAAATCGTAAATTTTTTTAACGCTTTGAATTATATATTTTTTCTTGAAAATAGTTTTAAAAGTAGAAACATTTTATTACAAACATCAAAACAGTGATTGCAAATTGCAAGTTAAAATAAAAATTATAAAAAATTCAAATTAAATTTAATAAATGATTTTACTTCTGTTCGAAAAATTTTTTTTCTAAAAAAATAATTTAAGCATATTCTTATACTTGATATAATTTGATTTATTAAACAAATTTTTTTTGTTTCACTTTTTTTTGGAAAACAATTAGAATAAAAAAAAAATTGAATGAAAACATCAGTTTAAAAACCATTTGAATTAAAAACTTAATTATACTTAAATTTTTAATCGTACGCTTGATCGGGAAGCTATAATTTATAAAAGATGTGGTATCTAATGTTTTTATGCTTTGATCTTACTCGTTTGGTCTATAGATTACAAACTCGTATAGGTCTATAGGCGCAAATATGAAGTTTTGTTTTAGTTTATTAACTAGCTCAATTTTATTTATTTGCCTCCTTTTATTTTAAATGCTTTTTATTTTATAAACTGTATAAATCAAAACGAAACAGCGTCACGAATTTGTTTTATTCTAAGCTCTTTATATTTTTAAAACAACTTTGCAGTTTGTTTAAATGTTGTTTTATAGCTTTTAACAATTAAATACTTTTAAAATATTAACAACTGTTTTAACGTCCGCACGAACATATTAAATAGTTTTCTTTGACTAATTAAAGTGGTTTAGATATTGCAATATTGCTTTTTCTCTTACTTTTTTACTTATACTTTTTTAAGTATCATTTTAAGTAAAATATATACTTAAAGAAATATCTTAATAGTATTAAAAACGTTATTGCTTATTACAACTGCAACTTAAACTTTAAGTTATAACTTAAGTTGTAAATAATAACAGTAACTTACGCTAATTTAAACTCTGCCGAACAAGAAAATTATAAGATTATATTTAAATATAGAGATAATGTATTAAAAATAGAACAATTACGTACAAAAGTTACAATTATATACCAACTCACTTCCCCATAGCGTACTTATCGCATAAAAAAGTTAATTCATTTGAAATTTTAATTACTTCATTCAAAAATTCATAACTTTTTTTTTTAATTTTCAAATAAAGTTTTATGGCGCGAATAATAAAATGTTTTATGTTTAAAAAACTTTTATTTGTTTTATTATTTAAAATATTTTTAATACAATTTTACTGTTAATATAAATGAAAAAGTTTAAAGCTCATATAGTTTAATCGCTTTAAAAATTATGCTATGAAAACGTAGGTAGAGGAGAAACTCAAATTAATGTATTTTAAAAATGTTATTTAAAAAAAATAAGCATTTCATATTTTAATTTAATCAAAATGTGCGTTTTACATTTTATTCCAATTACAACGTATTCTTTATTTTATCAACGTGAATTCGAATTAAGCATTCTGGTTGGCTTAGATACATTTACTTGTTACATTTACTTACATTTACTTGTTACTGTTTACATTTAAACAGTAACAAGTAAATAGTTTTTTTTTTATGTAAACAAATAGAATGTTACATAAAAACCATAAAAAATTAATGACTAACATTAAATATTAAATGAAATTTATAATTGTAGAGATACCAAGAATATTTGACAACATTTGATTATTTTGAGGGTTCCGACCTTTTTCTTTGTAGTGCATAAGTCACCTGCACTGTGGGCATTTATGAGTAGGTCATGTCACAGCACACTCTATTTCTTGACTATTACACCAAATATTTTAACTACAGTTATGCATAAAAGTTTTATGATCTTCAAACCATTCAGAAAAATTACAAAAATAACCAGCTCATGTATAGCTTGCACTTCTGAAATAATTTCAGAAAGAGCTATAGATTGATTTAACACAAAGAACTCTAAATTTATTAAAAATGATATTTTCACGACAACCTGAACTTATGGTTAAACTTTAATGGGAAAGAGGAGCAAACAGTTCCTTTTTTTATTAAGTCGACAAATATTTGTGACATCTTTATATAATTGTCAATAAACACTCACCACGGATAAATTCTGTACAGTTATCCAAAACAATATTAAGAAGGTGATCAAAACCTTTTAGTACGCCTGCAACTAAATATAACAAAATAAATTAATACAGTAGTTTTTTTTTTTTTTAGTATACAAAAATATTAAGTACAAACATAAATTTATTTTATAAATAATTTAGCAGGTTAATAACTTTTACATATCGATGGCTTAATCCACAAACTGAACTATGCAGGAGCAATATAAAAGTATTTCATATACCCATATACACTTACATGGATTTTGTTTTTCATATTTTCATATTTATGTATTTATAATCAAATACAAATTATTTTATCAGAAAATACAAACTATTTTATCAGAAAATACAAACTATTTTATCAGAAAATACAAACTATTTTATCAGTTTATGTATATTTTTTATTTTATGTTCTCATAATTAACATTCATAAAATACATAATGTTTGGGGTCAATATTTAAAGATTAAACAGCTATATTGATTCGTATTTCAGTGGGAAAAAAAAAGGCAAAAAAAAAATTTAAAATTTATTGATATTTTTGAACCTCTCATTTATTACTTAAAATATTTTTTGATACTCTAACTTTGTATATCAATTAACAACTCTTTGTATATCAATTAACAACCAGCAACTTTATAAAACATGTAGTTTATAAAATAAAATAAATATTTTTATAACATAATGAAATACACTTATGCATTATTTACAAACTCTTAAGTAATTAGAAAGTTCTCCAGAAAGTAGCAACATATCAAACATACCATTTGAAAGAAAATTAAAAGATCATGATAAAATAAGGTCACAAACACCAAAGACAGCAATGTTACACATTCAGTAGTGCAGAACAACTAGTTATCTTTAGGCACTAGATAATCAGTATAATGTAAGTCAATACGGAAAAGGTTCGCCTTGTTTGTACGGTATTATTTATATAATAATACCATCAGTATCAGTTTGATACCACATAATACTGATAATAAAAAGTATTATATGGTATTGAATGATTGAACAGTCTCATTTGATATCAATAAGAAAAAAAAAAAGAAAATGTAGATTTTTGAATTTATTACAAACAAAATACAAATAAGATTGCTTTTTAAAAATTTAGTTAAAATTTTTTTCAACTATTTATTTTTTAGCCATCTTCTATTAGTTGTTTTTCCATTATTGTAGTTTTGTTGGTATTTGAGGAGTTTCTTCTATTAATGTTATCATCTTCAATATTAAGTCAACAATCATATGAACATTTTTATAATATAAAATAAATGATAATTAAAAAGTACCTATATTTCTGTTGAAATAATCCCAGATTATAGGATATATATTTATAGGAGGAATAATAATAGATGATTCATTTAGAAAGAAGATACAAAGCAATAATTATGATACTATTCAAAATTTAATTAAAATAACAATATAAAAAAAATTACAGAGGCATACCACATAACTAATTAAACTTAAATAACAATAGCAGATGACAAAAAAATTACAGAAGCAACACCACTTTTCTCCTTTACTCAACCAAGAGCATTGTCAGAGGAGCATTTTAGGGTAGAGTTACTTCTCCTGGCCTTTGCCTTAAAAAAAACAAATCTTAGAAGGCAGCAGACACGAGGCAAGTTGTATTGGATTACATGTTACCAGTAGCAGGTGATCCTGACCTAACTAGTTATTATTTAAAACAAACCTTCTCTTCCTCCACTGAACTTTACTCTGATAGCCTTGTCCATAAATCTTGTAAGATCTAGTATGGAGGTTTTTTTGGCTTTTCTATCATCCTTTAAAAACAAAATTTAATTCACTAATAAACAAACAACAACATTAATTTTAATTACTCTAATAAAAACTACAACAAAACCTCTTAATTACCTCAAACACCTTTTCAAAAACTTCAAGAAAAAAATAATAATAATAAAGGGTTTAACTTTTATTTAAATCAAATTTACCTCCCTAAAGCTGAAGAGGGGGCCATTCCACTTAAAAAGACATTTTTTTACTTGTAATTCTTGTAACCCTAAACTTTGAAACACGAACCATGTTAAACAAGACCGTTGTGGTTGAGGGTGGTACTTCCAGTGACTAAGGGTGAATTGGAACCTCAAATTTTTAAATTAAATACATCTTGAAAGAAAGGCTGAGTGTTCTACCACAAATATACTACTGCATAAATTTCATCCAAAAAAAAAAAAAAGTTTATCAAAAAAAAATTAATTTTTGTCAAAAAAAGTTAAAATTCTATTGGTTTGATTTAGATATAAATAAAAAACTTATAATTATTTTATATATCATAACTTATATAAACTCTAGTTTTTATTTATCAAATTAAATATATAACTTGTATTTTAACTTACTTTCAAGATGTATTTATTCATTTAAGGAGAAAAATAAAAAATATATGCTTTTTTTATATATGTCCTATGTCCATGTCAATTGAAGAATTAAAACTATAGGATGACAAAACAACAGGTCATCCCTTTGTTTTCTTATCCTTTAGTTTTAATTTTTAACTCATTCCTAGCATTGCAGATAAAGACTGAGTTTTTTTGTTGTGATGAGCATATAAGAATTTCAATGAATTTAAATGCAAAATGGCCAACTATTAAAATAAACTCTCAAAAAATTGCTTGGAAAAAATTTCTATAAAATATGTAGCTGTATTTTTATTATGTTTCCTGAATTAGGGCTAATTAGAAGAGCAAAACTACAAAGTATATCCCCACTATTTTTGGATTTTGATTATTTACATACAACAGAGATATTCTATGAAAAAGTAGGGCAGACTTAAAACACACCACACATCATAGTTTTTTCACACTTTGTCAGAATGACTTAAATTAGATAGATTACTTTAAGAAACTTCAGCTTTGTTTTTTTTTAATTTTATTCACCTTTCAAATGCCTAGAGGGCCAATACAGTTGAGGAGACTACTTTTTTATCGTGGTTACAACCCTCTCTCAACTCTTTAATTCCAAAACACAAACCTAGACGAACAAGGTTGTTGCCAAGAAACAAGTTGAGCGTGGTACTATCAGGGACATGGTCGGAATCAAACTCAAAACTTTTTGCTTATAAAGCGAGCACTTTACCACTAAACCACTACCATAGTTTGTTATTAATTACTTCAAAATCAATTAACTTAAGAGACTTTTTAGTTCCATCTATCTCGGAAAATGTAGTAGATCATGAAAGGAGATGTAGGAACCACAGTAGGCCAAAATCAAGGCCGATCTGCAGAGAAACAAGTACCATAGTACTTCCAGAAACATTATGTGTTCATTATTCCTTTTTCTTAATTCTTTTTTCTAAAATCCTCAAGCAGGACTTTTTAAAGTATTTTTGCAAATGATTTCTCATGATTTTAAAAACAAACCTCAAAAGATCCAACCTAATTCTTTTACCAAAACACTTTTTAAAATAAGTAATTTAATAAAAAAGTTCCACCCATATATCATAAAATTTGGTACTTAAAACGTTATATCTTCAACCCTCAGAATTAGAGTCGGCATTCGTCAATGCTGACCTAACTGCCGACCTGAAAGTGTTTAAGGTCAGTAAAAAATTGCCAACCTTGTTTCTATGTTTTATGGTTAGACCTTTGTAACAAATACCTTTTGCCAACCTGATGCCGAACTCAAAAAGATTGAGGTCGGCAAATTATTGCCGACTTCATTTTTTTTTATTCCGAGGGTAATATCCTTCTGTAGAACTAAGTATATTATATATCTACTATAGCATATTTTTATGCGCAATTGCTAACTTTTTTTGCTAGCCTAAATTAAGTGAGCGTTTTTAGAAAACGATGAGAAAAAACGAAGAATAATGAATGAAAATGTTGCTGACTCATACCAAACCCTCAGTCGATGTAGCAGCACTCCACTGCGAGTCAGGCTATTTGTCAGTCAATGTATGTACTTAAGCCCCCAGCAGCAGACTATTAGACGTTAGGTGAGTATGACATCATCATGCTCACCTAACTCAGCAGTATAAGATATATATGTATGTATATATATATATATATATATATATATATATATATATATATATATATATATATATATATACATATATATACAGACAATAAAACTAATACTTACTGCCATTATTGTATTCTGTTATTCTAAATAAAAGTGTTTCTATGGTAATTCTTTTTTTCTCTATCTAAAAGATAAACAAAAAGTGAGCAAAATAAACAACATATAATATAAAAACAGGTAATATATATATATATTTATATATATATATATATATATATATATATATATATATATATATATATATATATATATATATATATATATATATATATACACACTTACTAAAGAATGTTTTGATAAGCATTTGCTCACTTTTTCTGCTTACCTTAAGCCATACTGTTTTTTTTTAAAAAGAAGAAAAAACGAAGAATGATAAATAAAACGATTGCTTCCCCATCCTAAACCCTCAGTCGATATAGCAGCACTCCACTGCGAGTCAGGCTATTTGTCAGTCGATGTATGTACTGAAGCCCCCAGCAGCAGGCTATTTCAGTATGACATCAGATTGCTTACCTTAGTACGCAATACTATTTGTATATATATATATATATATATATATATATATATATATATATATATATATACATATATATATATATATATATATATATATATATATATATATATATATATATATATATATGTATATATATACATATATATATATATATATATATATATATATATATATATATATATATATATATTTATATATATATATATATATATATATATATATATATATATATAAAATAAGAGAGGATAAGTATAATAAATCATTTTATTACATCTTTAGTCTATCTTTTTTTTTGCTTAGCTTATTATTTCAATATGCTTAATATTTATACTGTTATCTTAACATACTTATGATTTCATATTTTGCTAATTCTCACCTTCTATTATTTCTGATAACTATCTATTCCGTTATATGGAAGTTGGATTAGTTTGAAAAAAGTTTTACCTTATTAGCTTTATTTATTATTATATATTTTTTAATGTTTTTTTTCTTATTATTAAGATTTATTTTTAAATTGTATTCCATATTAAAATCTTAAATTACATCAATATAACAACAGTATGGAAGGAAAAAAGGATAAAATCTAAGCCAGGAAAAGATCTTTCATTAGCAAAACAATTGAAACTTGCAGACAAAATAACCCATTCTGCTGCAAATAGCCTCAGAAAGTTTTCACTAATTAAAATGTTTAGAAAAACTAATAAGTTGTGGTCAGCATGGTTTTACTTATAAATCTATCTAAAATGCATTTAAAAGTTGAGGGCTTAGAATCATAAGGATTTAACTAAAAAAAAAATGTGCTTTTTAAAATCCACTATGAAAAATCTTATCATATTTATTATTTACTTTCACTGTTTAGATGTTTTAATGTTACTTTAATTTTAAAAAATTTATTCGAAGTAGGCTTTTTTTATTGAGATTATTTTGCATTGACAAGTTGAACCGTGTTAATCACAAAACTGTGTTTTTGTTACTAGGCCCTGTAAGCCACTGTAGTGTTTAAATAATCGAGAACTCAACTTCCTGAATTCCAAACTTGACTTTGAAAGAGTTAAAAATTGACACTTTAAAAAATAGAAGAAATAATCATGCAACAAAAATAATCAAGTTTGCATTAATAAGAATACAACACGCAGCTTTGGTCAAAATCTTTACATTAAACAATGATGCAACATTATAAGTTGAAAAAGCAATAAATAGAAAAGGAAAAAAAGACTTTAATACAAAGGAGCCTTTAAATACAATGAAGTTAAAAACACTTTTATAAATCTAAGATACTCTGATTTGATATGAATTGTACTTAATAATAATTTTTTCAAGCAGTGAAAGTGGAACCGCAAAACAGAATCACGAACAGTCTTTATCAACTAACAGGAGAGGTATCCACACTTGATCCCAAAATCCAAGAGTAAAAACAAACCAATTTAAAAAAAAAAATGAGAACTTAACTAAGGAGATTTGCAAAAAACAAAAAATACAGTAAATCGCACAACAAATATACAGAAAATAGTTATTTGATATTTTATGCTTACAAAAATGAATCGCGAAATTTTGCATATACTATATTATATAGTATATAAATATGTTACATTATATATGTATTTTTTTTTAATGAGTATTTGCACTGAAATTTCCATTCTATATTTACAATTTATATTTACTACCAAAAATTTTTACCCATTTTTATATTTTGCAAGTCTATAGAGAAAACATAAAATTGTAATAACTAACTAAACAGTAATAGCTACTAAAGAAAACATTGCAGTACATAAGACATGAAAGTACTAAAGAACACATGCAGTACATATTTCTACAATAGACTTTAAGTTGAGAATAAATTAATTTCAAATCGCGCTCACGCATGACTCAGGAATACTACGGAAGGCTCTTTCGTCCAGCTCCTAGTCCGATCTTAAGTGACTTTCACGTCCGCCAACTCGGGGTCAGGTAAGTAGGGATACATAGACGCAGCAGAATGTACATATATCGACTGACTTAAATAGGATAGATGCAGTGAGTTTACATACATCGACTGAGGAATTTTGGCAGGTATTCTTGCAAACAAGAAGAAACTTTTTATGTTTTGGACTTGAAGTACACCATCAAGAGAACATGCTCTTTTGTTAAATACTGATGCTACTCGGAGAAACAGGTTGAGTGGCCTAATTTGAGGACTCAGAGTAGAGAGTTTTAAATCCACTCTAAGCCCTGATATTATTGCCCTTAACCTGTGTGTCACCGCAGCAGCATTATTTAAAAAATTTACAAATTGGAGTTTCATGTTAAGAGATATAAAAATTCAATTAACAAATTAAGCGAAAAATTTGATTAGACTCCTCGATTGTAATAACTCTCCCAAGAGCATTGAGGAGAAGAATTAAATGAAATGAGAAAAAAATATAATCCCTCCCCAGTAAACTCAGATTGGTTCAAAATTGGTAAATATTTAGTCGAAATCGGTCAAAAAATAGATAAATCGTTTAGCGACCTAATATTGACTAAAAATCGACGCCTAATTTGAAATGTATATTTCAAACTTTTTTTATAAATACATGTACTAAACTTCGAATTAACGTTTAGAATATCGACTTACATTAGACAATATTGTAAACCTTTATTCGACCCTAAATAAGCGTAAATATTTTTAGATTTAAAATCTACGCACAGTGTTCTATTTCGCGAATCTAGCGGAACTTAATTATTTTGTGTATTATTTCATTGATTATTTGTCTTAAATTTATTATTTTTTTCTATAAAAATACCTTTAGCTGCAATTGTAATTAAAATTTTATATAAAAATATTAAAAATTACCTGCAAAGCCAATATTTACATAATAATAATTTTTTAAAAACTTACTCAGCATAGTAATATCAATGAGTTGAAATTTAACAATTTGTTTATTTAACTTCAATAGATTTAAGATTGTTTATTGAAATATTTTTTATAACCTAAACAAGTTTATAAACAAAACTAAAATAATAAATTGTTTAATCAGAATGACTCATATCACTGTCACTATTTTCCGAATGCCCGATTTCGTCACAAATTAACAGTTTGATTGTATCCGGATGAAAAGTTTTTGAATTTTTTCGAGGTGGTAAGTAATAGTTGGACAAAATTGGATCAGAATACAAAATAAATCTATTTAATATATCCCTATTGATGTCCTTTCTCGTCATCTTTCTAGTTAAGTATTCACGATAAAATCTAAAACTTTTATTTGAAGCTTCCTGGGCTTCTTCTGACAATTCTCCCAAAGGAAGAATGCATGTAGAAATGATATCTCTCCCATGTATTAATGTTTTATGAATACTTGCTGGCAAGTAATACCATGGATACATAGATTGGTATAAATATTTAGTCTCATTTGCATATTGATGAAATTTTTCTGAATTTATTTGGAATCCACTGCCTAAAGTATGAAGAATAATTTTGAATCTATGTATTAATTTCTCATTTACTCCGGTGATTTCTGATGTTATATCCGGATTTTCAAAAAATCTTCTAGCAGTATTGCCGTTATTTGTTGTACCGAATGATTGTTTGGATTTATCAACAAATAACCCAAGTTTATCCTCAAATAATCTATGAATTAGTTGTTTTCTCTCATTCACACTTTCCTTTTCTTCTTGCGTTCTAGCTTGCCTTTTTTTATGCATAATTTATAGCATAAATGTAAAATGAACTCTAAACAGCGAATCCAACAATGGAGTGGGGATATACCGAAGGAATACATTTTCTCTTTGTCTTGTTGAGATGTGAGCTTTTCTTGTAACATCTCTTTTGGTTTGGCACCACATATGTAACACATTTGTGTTGAGCTATTTTCGCTTAGCAAGTTACATACTTTACCGTCTATCATCGTTAACAACAATTTAAAATTTATTTTAAACTGCACATCGTCTATATCTATAATTGTGGGTACCAGTTTTGATATTTGGTCTTCTATATATCTAGTTTCTTCTTTTATCACATTGTTTGTTTCTTTTTTAAACGAAAAACGAATATAACGGCAATATCTCATTAAACTTGGTCTTGGATTTTCCAAATAATGGTATTGGAGCTCATTAATAATCTTAGGGGTACAAACGCAATTGAAAATAAATTTTCATTGTTAGCCTTCTGTGCTGAAAGTTGTTTGTATCTGCTTTGATTGGAGCTCCCATCACAACCTCATTTGCAAATCATATTTAACTTTTCAGAAAACAACAGAAAGTAATACTTCTTTCTGTAATAGGCACAATCGCTTTGCCGTCAAATCCAGTAAATCTTGGAGTGTAACTTCGGCACTTATATCGATCACAGTGATACCATTTTCCATTTCTGCTTTAATTTAATAGAAAAAAATGAAATTTGATTTTTCAGATTCCGTTTATCTAAATCAGAAATACTATTCACTTTCCAAATTTTCAAAATATATTCACAAACTATATTATTTCGCTCAGTTGATTTAGTAGTTCTCCACAAATTGTATAATTTTTCATTGGTAATTTCGTCACTTTCTGTGAAAAAACATAAAGTCTAAAATTGCAAATATTTGCAGATGAATTTTATACATCATATAGAGAAAACATTATTCTACAAGAATTTATTTAGTTTATTAAGG